AAAACAGGTAGGTAAATATTAGATATCCTAACACGTAGGTAGTTACTAATATACAGGGTGTTCCTTAAACACATGCTAATATTCAAGGAGGTAATTCTTAGACCCATTTTAAGAAAAAACTTCCTATGGACGTATGTTCTAAATAGATATATCTTTGACATATCTCACTATTCCCTATTCTCCCTAGGTTGATATATATGATATGAAATAAAGGAAAAAATCATTAGGGATATTGCTGAAAGTAACGAGTTATTTAGGAAAAAAAAATAGAAAGTGTCTTTGTGAACCCTCGACTTTTCAGAATTTATAGTTCTTCTGTACGAATCAAAATATACCAACGGATTTGTTCAAATCATTGAAAAATTTAATGTGAAAATGACTTTCAAAATTGCTTGTACACTTCAATAAGTGTTTGATTATCCGAAACACATGATGGGCAATAATGAAAAGCATGCGATTTACGAAATGAATTCTGAGTATTAGGACAAAAACTATGTTGGTCAGTGGACTGTAATAACTCGTTAAAAGAATCATAATATTTCATATAGGTATTGGTTTCATAGACTATAGAAGGCTAATGTCACTTAACATGTTATAAAGATTGACATACTGTGTTAGCGTTTCGCGATTAGAAATTGAAATGTTTTTGAAAATTGTGTAATTATACTTATGGATAGTGTTATTAATATTCATTAATATTCATAATTTGAAAAATATTCAAAATTTTTGAGACCGGTACATGACAACAGATTTTTAGAAGACTTTGAATGTTGACAAATAAGAAAATGTGGAATGAGATTTATAAAAAGTGACAGAGATTTTCAAAGAGCTCGTTATTTGCGATATGACATATTAATGGAAAATCAAATACGAGTAATGTTGATTGTGATGAACTTAACAACGAAACTTCATGCAATCGAAGATTAATTTCCTATTTCATTCTAGAAACGGTCACATTTAGGAGCATCGTCAGGATTTCATAACATAAAAATCTGTTTGAAAAAATATGTTTTTCCGTTAACCAGCTGACAACTTTCAAAAGTCAAAACTTGTGCGAGCTAAGGACTAACGAGGTCTTACCTTTTATCGTATGGGTTGGACGATAGGTAGTGAAAATTGATTGTCCGGCCTTGCGGTTCTAACCACCGGTTCACACAGCGGTCGATTGAGTGTGTCGAGCAAACCACCCACGTCAACCCACCAGGCTACCGTCCTACCATAAACCTCAATAAATGCAATACGCCGAACTGAAATACAAGAGGAATTAGCATCTGTAATATGATACGAATTATTATATTTGCCAGTATGCAGACATGTGAATGAAATACTTAATAGACGAAACGTACATCGACCGGGTATCGAACCTAGTTTTCCTATTCTCTAGACTAGACAGATGCATTAACCAACTACACTATTGAAGCCACAAAGCAGAATGACGGCCGATTCATATCTTCAATTCATCCTCTCATAGTGTCAGTGCAATAAGAATGAAATTTGTGAATTTTGATGAAATAAACAACTAAACTTCATGCATTCGAAGAATAATTTGGGGCATCATTAGAATTTCATATCATAAATCTTAACGCATGAAATTAACAGACATATGAATGAAAAACTGAATTGAAAAAATTACAGATAGAAAACAGGTAGGTAAATATTAGATATCCTAACACGTAGGTAGTTACCAATATATAAATTAGGAATTAGAACACATTAAACACTTGGCACAAGTAAGAAGTAATACTAGGAAATTATTTACTCATTTAGTGACCTATATTATATAAGGTAATGGTTCGTCCAGAAGTATATGAAAACTCTAAAATAGCTGTGAGATTTGAATTCAGTTATCTCTTGATGATACCAACTTGGTTAGTGAGGCGAACGTCGGAAGCCAGCACTATTGTTCGGATGGTGGCAAAGTGTTTTAAATAGATTTGTTTTACGCCAGAGGTTTCAATTCTACCCATCAAGTTACGATCACTAGTTTATTCATCAATTCTGCAAGGCCCTTCCAGAAGTATTTTTTTATAAACGTCGAGAGACAGCATTTTTGTTCTAGCGAGGGAAAAGTGTTTTCAATAGATTCAATTCACGTCAGAGGTTCCAAATTATAAAAAAAACTATAAACAAAAGTTTCGTTATTTACCGGCTGCATCGGATGATGCCACAGAGCAAGTCATTCGGTCATCAGCAAACAAATATATGATTGTATGGAAAACATTCAGGCACACTTCAATGATTTTGTGTAGAAAGTCGAAAATTTTCTCGCAAAAGTTCTCGCTAATTTCAACGTAGCGATACATTTGAAGATGAATAAAGGGCTTTTTGGAATCGGACCTTTCTAACTTTTTCTGGTCTTCGAAATCGGATACGTGCTATATGTTCTTTAAAATGAGTTTTGATAGCTCGCTTAGTCTGACCAAGGTATTTTTGTCGCAGACCTCATTCTATTTTCAAACATCTGGTTTTATCTGTAAACTAATATTTGAAGTGTGCAAATAGTTTTGAAGGCTCTTTAAAAAATCCAATTTAACCCGTTTGTGTATCTTAGTTCAAACAACGAACTCTAAATCAATGTGTTTTCGAAAAGTCGAATATTTACAACGATTCTCCATAAACTTACGTTCCCTAATTTACTTACGTAAGAAGCCTATGGACAAGAAAGTTTAGTTCTGCCATTTTGTGTTGTGGACAATGGTGTGAGCTATCAGGTGTATATTTTAGAATATTGTTTTCATCGAAATTTAGACCCTAGTTACTTATAATCAGTAAGACATCAAAGAATGGTAACTCCTCGTTATTCTCAGTTTCATATGTAAATCTAATATTCGGTGATCTGTTATCAAAAATCGAAACAAAATTGTCTACCTTACATTTCATTGTATCCAAAATTGCAAATACAGCATCTACATATCAATTCCAAATCCGTGGAATGTAATCTAACTCCTCTTTTGTTACCAAATTAAAATGTTCTCATGAACAGACTAGCTATAAAAGAAAACCCAACGATCCGATTTCAAAAACCAGAATAATGTAGTGTTGTTCAAACGTCTTGGAGACCGGCTATAGAATAAATGAAAACTGAAATTGTTGAGATCGGTACGTGACATTAGACTCTTGGATATTTTCGAAAGTTTGGAAATAGCAAGGTGTGGCATGAGAACTATGAACAATGACAAAAGTTCCATTCCTAACAACCCATCATTCATCTTTAATATGATTGGCTCTGTTAAAATCATCAGAAACTTTGACGAGATATCATTTATGTGTGCCTGAAAGTTGAAGTTTACCCCGTTAGATATAAATAGAGACAAGTGTCAGGGTAAGGAATTAGTGTACCTCTACTCCTGAAGATACCAACTTCGTTGGTGAAATTCGGATTGAGGAGAGTGTTGTAGTTCTGGTGTTTGGGATTAGTACTCATTTTCGGTTATCGATATATCAAAGAGGATTGGAACTCAATCATACTTCCTAATCTTGATTATCGTCTACTACGAAGTAGTAATTATATTTCCTCGTAGTTTTTCAGCAATCCATGTTAGTAAGGATTAACTGAGAATTGCGACAGAAAGTGGATTATTTTTTTAAGAGTTCTCTTAGAGAGTCATAGGGTTGAGGTTGAGCCTATGGCGAGAAGCGCTTACTGCGCAACCTCTGCTGCAGACAGCTAGTGATGCAATTGAACCCAGGTTTATGTTTAATAAACCCTACAAAATACAAATAAAACAGAACACAGAGTCGAATGCTACAAATGCAATACGCATATATACAGACGGCTCAAAAACCAAAGAAGGCTTAGGATGTGGAGTGTACTCTAGATCACTAAGCCTAAGGATTGAATGGGGAATGGAAAAAAATACCAGCGTGGTTCAAACAGAACTGGCTCGTTTCTCAATCGCTACAAAAGAAGTAATCAGAAAAGGAATTTTTTGCAAAAACATAACAATCTGCACTAATAGTAGGCAAGCGCTATTAGCCTTGAACAGACAACGTGTTACCTCAAGGCTAGTACTAGAGTGCCACCAAGATTTAGCCAAAGTCTCGGTAGATAATAACTTATCCTGAGGTGAGTTAAAGGGCATGACAGTAGTAAAGGTAATTGCATTGCCGACTCTTTGGCCAAGGAAGCGGTTGGGCTAAAAATTTTAGGACCCAGTGACACCTACAGCCTGATGACTTCGACAATTGCGGAACTAGCCAAACATCACACACATGCTCAATCTCTCAAGAAATGGGATGGAATCATAGAGTGCAATCTTGCCAGGATCACCCTGGGTGACCCTGGGAAGCTGATATCGAAGAAATATCCGGCGATGACCAGGTAAAATCTACGCTTAACAGGAGGATGCAGGATGTGTGAACAGGAAGATGAAATTGCCAGGCATGTCCTATGCGAGTGTCCGGAGTTATCGTCAATAAGAGAGTGTGTGTTCGGCGAGTCTTGGTCTATACACCTGCCGATATAAAGGAGATGTCTCCTAGTGACCTGTCCACCTTCCTGGAAAGGACAGGATGGACGATGACCTAGGAGGACAACTCCTCGGGAGGATGTACAATGGGTCACATGTGGTCTAAGTTTGGGCGTACACTCACCGTCCCTACTCTACAGATACAGAGAGAGGAAGTCATAGGGAAATGCTCTATCGAAGATTTTTTCAATTTTTCCTATTAAAATTTTTGCCATCATCTATAACACTAACTAGTAGCCATTTAATTTCCAGTATTCAACTCTCTGTCCAGATACTAGTGCTCATTTTCTCATCATTAAATTTCCCTTTGCTTGTATACTTCTAAGAAAAAATGATGATAACCCGCTTCCGCATTAATTTTTATTTGAACTTGACTCACTCATCAATTTTAATTCTGCAAGATGAATTGTTTCGAGTTCCTAGCGAATCATTGTGAGTGCAATTCTTTTTCGAAATAGGTGTGTATGTGTGTGTGTGTGTTATTATGTGTTTTTATCGTTAAACTGTGAAACATTTTGATGACATCATCTTTCAATTTGCACGATTAGATGAAATTGAAACATGAGATGATTTCAAAACCAAAACGGATAGAATATTCGAAAGATCACGATGTCAAGAATTATTCAGAAATGGATATTCATTTGTGGAATGATGTAAGTACCAATATTCAAAACAACTTAATTTCAGATGTATTAATTATTTTTTCGTCACGAATATTCAGTTAGAACTATAATAATAATAATGCAGTTTTATAATTTGTTTCTCCGAAACGTTTCCGCAACTATTATAAAATACGAAATTGCTAGTTGGGTATTATCTCCTTCTTTTGAAATAGTAAATTCTATGTTTCATGAATTTTAATCATATACCAATTTTTGGATGCGTTAAATCAATGATGATAAATCCAGTAATATTTTTAAAATTTCAGTGATATTCAATATAGTTCTTGATCAACCCAAGATTACCTAAAATAACTTCAGCTGATAAGAAATATATGTAATACAACGTAATACTATATGCTCTTTGAAATTCATAACAGACCTAGTATACCTAATAACAAATTTATCACGTTTCTTCTTTAGGTATCGTTCTCACTGGAGCGATACGATAAGTGATTCGATACAGGTGATTCGATAAGCTACCCGATCCTGATTCGTCACCGCACCGATCACTCGTAATCGCGCAAACGTAATAAAAGCAACTAACCTAGTGCACACCGGAGCGATCGCGATACTACACCGATAATTATCGGAGTCACATCGGTGAGGGGGACACAGCTGTCGGGTCGCTTGAGCGAGAGAAAGGAGCAGTATTGATGAGCGTTGTTCGACACGTTCATGTCGGGTCAGCAAGAAGACGTGCAAGCCTCGATTTCCTTCGTGAAATTGGTGGAGCAGAACCCGTGCTTATGGAATTACACATTGAAAAGTTATTGTAGGACTGATTTTACAGGTGTTGCGTGGAAAGAAATAGCTAAAAAGCTGAAGGAAACAGGTGAGAAAAAGCTACATTAATTTTTAGGTATTCGTAGATTTCGAAAACCTATAGCGAAATGGAGTTTGTCTGTCTGTCTATGGACAGCTTGTAACTCCCAAACCATTAATGATGGAAATCTGAAATTGTCACCACTTTTCCATCTTCGGAAAATTGTTTTGAACCGAAACACTCTATGATGCGATAAAAATGTATGGACGCATGCGCGACTTTTGAAAAAAAAATATTTTTTAAATGTGGGGTATCGTTTGATAGATACGAACGTATTGGTTAATTGATTTTTATGGCAAGCCTACATATTTCCATTGTATAGGAATCACTCCTTTTGAATTCAGAAAGTAATTACCAAGTCTGTGACTTAGTCGAACAGCTTGGGCCTGCTTTGTTAATTTCTGTAGAGTACTGCCGTCAGGCATTGCTGGCACAGCGAGAGAGGGGGCAAAATTTGAAGGTTATTGATATCTTCCCTACCGAAGGCAAATGAAATTATGGAGCACACGTGCTGCCTTCACCACTGCGATAACACACTGTTGGTCACAAGCCATTGGTAACTCAAACACGCGGAATTTGGAAGATAACATACCAAAAGCACATTAAACACTTTTTTGACCTCTGGAGAGACGAAAGTTGAAAATTCTTTTTGCATCACATTCAACACTCTCTTCGGGAAAGGCCTAAGTAGGTAGGTAATAAACCTACACAATACTGAAGGAAATAATCTAGATAAGTATTTTTAGGTAGACTAGTAGGGTTTTGAACATTCAGGCTACCTGCTTTCAGTCGCTTTCCAATTGACGAATGACGAAACACTGAACCATCACTATTCCTTCTTATGTCCCCAAACTCAACGAGAGGAAACAAATCTGCATCTGCCATAGCCATTAATGCAACAGAAAAAAAACCTTTGTAATTCATATTTCTAGATCCTGTGTTCTTGAAGCACTTTACGCGGATATGTTTTTCATAGATGGATCCAATACAATTGGACAAATTCCACAGTTCGAAGTAGAGCTGAGCTTTTTTTTGCCACATTCCCCCATCTGGTAGGGCCATATATGTAGGTTGCAAAATTTCCCAAACTGCTTCACATGCGGAGCAGCGTACGATTTCGCCTACAGTAGATTTTTATCTGTAGAACTGCAATGCCACGGCAACAAAACTGCTTCCCGTAGCTAGGAACCTGAAATCCGAAAAAAATGTAGATTAATACTATTTATAAATAACTTTCAAACTCCATTAGAAAAACTCACTTATTAACTATAAATAAATACGGATAAAATACATAAATAAATAAATCAATTGTCATGTGTGTACTTGAATTTTCTGTAGTCCGCCTAGTATTGAAAAATCTGCTGAGATATTTTTGTTGATTGATCTGATAATATTACTTTTCTTTAATTTCCAGAACAAAATTGCCGGGACAGGTGGAAAAATATTCGTACCGCTTATGGGAGGTCGCTTAAGCCACCAAAATCTGGGTCCGGAGGCAAATCAAAAAAACCCTACTACTTGGCAACCCATCTTGATTTTCTCCGTCCTTACATGAAGGGAGCTTCAACATCTGGTAACGTACCACCTGAAGAAGACACGCAAGGTGATGAAGGAACACTAGATACCACGGAGACACAAGTTGAAGAAGGCTTGTCAGACACTCCACAAGCACCTTCAGTAGATGAGGTGTCTGTAGATAACGAAACTGATATTCACCAGGAACCCAGACCTCGTAAGAAAAGAAAAATTATTACTCTGTCGAGTGATGCAGACAAAGCGTTCATCGGGTGGCTTGACATTAAGAAAAACAAAGCACAAACACCTAGCGAACAGGAAAAAGAAGATAGTGACTGGCTCTTCTTTCGCTCATTACTTCCAGATTTCAAGAAACTTGGCGACAGACGTAAAAGAGGGCTCAAAATTAAATTTGCTACACTTCTCAACGAAGAACTGGATCTAGCTGAGGCAGAAACCTCAAACACTCCGTGCTCATAGGCTTCATCATCGATAAGTTATCCCACGTTTCCTTCATAGGACTGTGGACCCCCTGCTCTGTCTTAACATGAACAAGATGATAACATCACTACACTACATTCCGTTAATATGTTATGAAATGTATTACAATATAGTATTCAGATATTTTGCTTGTATTGGCGTATCAATAAATTTTTTTTTTCTTAATTTAGGAAATTTATTTATAGTAGTATGAACTTACCTTAGTAAGTTGCTTGCTGTTCCACCTCTCAGCCGGTGGAACAGCAAGTCTGAAGTTTGTAATTTGCTTCTACAGTCTCCTTGACACTAATCTCAATAAAACTATTTGCTCGTTCTAGAAAACTCTCTAAATGTCTGTTCATGCTGAGAGAGCTCACGGGAAACCACTGCCGAGTTGTGTTTAATATTGTGAACATTCTATGGGTGTAGCTACCCAGTGTTTTCTAAATTTCCGTTTCCTCTTCTGCAAGTACCGGTAAGCAAAAACAATGTCCTCCTCTGAGGAGCTCATGACAACTGATGAAAACAACTGCTCCGTTTTTTATTCTATAGGCCAGGGGTTTCCAACCTTTTTGCACCTGCGTACCACTTTGACTTTTTGAGAAATATTGGTGTACCACCGTATCTGAATATTTCAATAAACATATAATATTTACTCTTCTAACACGACCAACTTTCTCTTGAAGGAGTTTATTTTGTCACTGACTGTGAAGACTGTTGTGTTTGGTCCCTAAAGTCCCAAGGTCAGTGTGTTGAGTTTGTCAAAAATGTCGGCTAGGTAAACCAACCTTGACAAGCATTCTTCATCAGCAAACAATTTTTTCATGTCATGATTTTTTTCACTTAAAAACATTAAAACTTCTGATCTCAGTTCAAAGAGACGGTCCAAAATTTTCCCGCGAGATAACCACCTCACTTCTGTATGCAGGAAGTGAAGTTTTGAACTTGCCACCCATTTCTTCACACATCAAGGAGAATAATCTTGTGTTTAGAACCCTGGCCTTCATGAAGTTGATAACTTTCACAGCATCTGATAGAACGGAGTTAAGATTTTCAGCCATACCTTTAGCAACTAATGCTTCTCGATGGATGACACAATGCGTACTTTTGCATTCAGGAGCAATTCCCTTCATTTTTGTTGCTAGCCCTGTCAATTTTTCTGACATAGCTTTTGCAGCATCTGTACCTACATAAGCCAATACACTTGGACCAGGAAATGCCTACTTTGAGCACATAGTCATCAATTACCTTAAAAATAAGTTCCGCTGTGTTATTTGATTCGAATGGATTGTAGAAAAAAACTCTTCTATCACCTTTTCATTATAATCAAATCGCACGAAAACAAACAGCAGCTGGCAGTAAAAGTGTTGCAATTCTTAAACTAGTAAGGTATGACGCCTTTATCAAGTTAGTATCAGTATTGACAAACTTCGTCAAACATTGGGCTTCTTTCTTTAAAAAATTAGATTTTCTTTTGAAAAATTCAATGGGCTTACCAATCAAATCATGGTGCTTAGAATTTTGGAGTCGCATCAGTAAAGAAGGCTTCATGGATTGGTTCGAAAGTGTTTCAAGATATACATCACATTGAGGAATAGGAATGTCACTGGTTTTATTCCCTGGCTTCACTATAAAATCGTACTGTGAGTAGCTTTCATTGTATTTACGATTGTCCGGTAATTTAGGTTTTTTTGCACGATCCTTTGAAGTAGAAGAGGACGTGAGAAATCGTTTCATAGTTTAGTTTTCTTATACGAAATCATAATTAATAATTACAACACCCACAAGGAACCTGTTATGTCAAGTGAAAGACAATGCTTTTTGAGACTCACAGGTAAAAAAATGAAACACCCTTTGTTTAGCAATTGTACTATCTGGAAATTCCTAGGAAAAATTCCTAGTGTTTTATCGTTTTATTACCTAGGAATTATAAATTCCAATGTAATTGAGAAACAAAGATGTCAGGTCGTTCACTGGGTTATGGGTATTTCGTATTTCTAGCGACCCGTGAGCTGAGTCATGTTTGCTATTAACAGCATGTTGCTCACATCACTCACGCGTACCACCTGAAACGTTCCCGCGTACCACCTGAAACGTTCCCGCGTACCACTGCTATATGCTATCGTATCGCTCCAGTGTGCACTGGAGTGTTGCGAGCGGACGATAAAAGATTGCTCACGCTGCATCGTTTATCGTATCGCTCCATTGAGAACGACACAATTCAACGTCGTCACATTTTAAATAAGCATATAGAGAAAAATTAAAATAGGAATGTTGAACAATTTATTTCACTTGTATCATTATGCTAAATGTTTCTTGTAGATATCGGTTTTTGTAAAATTATTTAAAATAATTGTTGAGCTGTCAAAGTGTCAATTTTTTGTCATCCTGTAATTAACTCGAACGAGCATATGATTCGAAGTGCAAATAAAAAAAGATAGTTATTTCGAATGATCTTCTGGTACTTCTTTTTTTCAGTTTCGTAGTCGATTCGCATTTCAGCAGGTATATCAGCGTTGGAACTTATGGTTTTAGGACCGGTAGCAAAAACGTGAAAGAGCAGAGCAATGTGTGTCTATTCCATTTTGTCCTTTCCTAATAACGTGATTTTGGTACTGAATTTGCTTTGAAGAAACGAATTTATTCACCAATTGTCAAGTTGACATCGAAATTTATTCTGGAGTATATTCGATTTATTGATATTTCACTTCAGTTCCATTTTATTGAATGACTCGAGAATCGATCTCGAACCCAGAAAGCAGTTTAACATGAAAAAACAAGAAAAGAAGAAACAGTCAATTTTTATGCATAGCTCACCAATGGCAGAACTGGTATTCGAATTTACCATTGTACCTTGATACCGTACTTCAAATAACATAATGATAGGAATAGAAAAATTCGTGAGAAAAAGAGAGGTTCAAAGCAAGGTGTGTTTATTCCATTTTATCCTTTTTCAATAACGTGATTTTGGCACTGAATTTGCTTTGAAGTTATTAATTTATTCACTAACTATCAAGTCAGGGCCGTCGCCATGAGGGGAGGAGCCTCCCCCCTGCTTTTTCGACTTGGGGGAAAGTTGGAAAAAAGTTGGGAAGTTTTGGGCCGTGAAGATAGAAAAAAATAATAGTAAAAAAATGAAAAAACAAATAAAAAAATAAAAATGAGAGAAATGAAAGGGAGAGGTAATAAGAAAAGGGAAAGAACCGGGAGAAGGTTGGGATTTCCCAACATGCATAACTTGGAGATCCCATACTTTGAAATTCTGATTTGTTTGAAAACTTCAAAAAAGTTTGATTTCTCCCAAGTAAGAGAACAGTCCTGAACAGTACACAGATTTTGAAGTGACAATTTTACAAAATTTCCAACTTTTCGCTGTTTTTTCGACTTGGAAAAGTTGGGAAATTTCGGGCCGTGAAAATAGAAAAAATAATAGTAGAAAACAATAAGCAAAATATCATTTAAGTGTTGTTTCCTTTCATTTGTATTGAATATTCCTATACATGGTGGATATGGTGGAAGACCAAGAACCTTGATCCAAAGTAGAATAATTCCCATTATCATTTTTATAATTACCAAAATTTATTTTTGTTTGTGCATACCCTAACGGGCATAAGCATTCTGCCAATCTTTGGATAGCTAAGTAAGAAAATTAATATATTATAATAATAACTTATCCCTCGGCTTTTATTTTTTCGAAAGTTGGTAAATTTTGCTGGTGGGGTTGGGAAAATTTACATTCCCTCCCCCCCTGGTATTTCTTTTCGCTACGGCCCTGTGTCGAGTTGACGTTTATCGATATTTATTCTGAAGCACATACGATTCATTGATACTTCGAACCTTGATCGTACCTACTTCAAGTAACATAATGGTAAAAATAAAAAAAACTCGTTAGAAAAAGAGAGGTTCAGCCAAGGCAAATTAACCACTTTTAGGAGAAGAAAGTTTGTGACCTTCTACTTCTCCATCTTGATACATAAAAGTGGGAATATTCCAAAGAAAGAAGATCTTGCAAAAAAGTAACTTTCAGACACAAACTGAAAGAAAAAACCTCCTTGAAAAAGCTATTTTCATATGAACATTGAAATACAGGAAAGAAAAATACTTATACGAACGCTGAATTATACGAAAAAACACTTTTCTCTATACCGTTTGTACTCTAAACATTCGTATGAGATCGCATCAGATATCATTCACATGATTCCTACACAATATAATTAATGAAAGAAGTAAAATTCCACTTACATGGAACACTGCCATCCTCACTGCTAGACATCTCATGTTTCGCTGTAAGACACTGGCCTTATCGGCTCTTCAGTTGCAGATACGGATAACATAAGAAAAAACACTCAATTCGTTCATAATAATGGCTTTTCGCCACGAAATGGGTTGAATCCGCCCATCTCTTCGATGACATTAATTAAAACTCAGCCATAGGAATCTTGTTTGAATTGAAAGGGTATATTTTTAGGAGAGATTAATTTTTGGGTCAGAAAGTTTTTGACCTTCTACCTCTTTATCTTACCTATAAGGCAAGTGTCTTACGGCGAAACATTGGATGTCTAGCAGTAAGGATTACAGTGTATCATGTAAGTCCTGTGAATCCTGTGAATGATATCTGATTCGATCCAATACGAATGTTTGGAATACAAAAGGAATAGAGAAAACTGTTTTTTCGTATATGTCAGCGTTCAAATAAAAGTATTTGATTCGAAAGTTTTTTTCTTTCGTGCAATTCAATGTTTATATGAAAAAAACTGTTTCGGGAGGGCTTTTTCTTCCAGTTTGTGTCTGAAAGTTACTTCTTTGCATGATCTTTGCATGTATAAAGTTAAGTTTTGAAATTGAGCGCTTCCTTTCTTTCTTTGGAAGATTTCCACATTTTTTGTATCAAGATGGAGAAGTAGAAGGCCAAAAAGATTATTTCCCAAAAATTATCTCTCCTAAAAATATACTCTTTAAATATACTCTTTAAACAAGATTCCTATGACTGGAATTTAATCAAATAAGCAAATGAAAGTTATTTACGTACTGTAGCATACAAGCAATAACCAAAAAAAAACAAAAAAATGAACTATTAACACGAGCTGAAATAAAAAAAATATATCATTAACAAGAAATGAAAAATTAAAAATTAACCAAGTTACTTCACGACGTTTCAGTTAATAGTATCCACAATCGTCTTCGGGGGATAACTTTTTAATTTTTTACAGATTATTTCAGGGATTTCAAATCAATTTATATCATATTAGAGAATGGAAGTCTCTCTTTGAGTAATGAAAAAAAAGTTATTCACCTGATGGTATACAATTTTTTTAATGCCTGCCATGAAGAAGTTTTATTCAATGAAAATTCTGGTGAAATATGAAAAGTCAATTTGCCTATGCGTTCAAATCTTGAATCCGGTATGCTAATTTGCGGGGGTGAATGTAATTATTGCTTTATTTTTTGTGCTACAGTATGAAAATTAAAATGAACTTCAAAATAAAAAAGGTCAGAAAAACTAGCTCATCTGTCAGAAACCAAAATAATCGATGCTTTCCATGATATTATGACTAAAAATCTCAATCCAAACCTAAGCACTCAAAAAATGAAACTGGTTCTACTGAAAGATAACAGAGAGTAACGGAAATAATTTTGAATAATTACTGTGAACCAAAAAAATCGTTTTGGTATTAGGTACTCATTTACAGAACTGCTCGATACTAGAGGATACTATTTTGGTGTCTTTTTGCCTCTGAATAATAATAAATTTATACTCTAATGAGGTGGTATTTTCCAGAAATCAGAAGAAAAGAGACTATATGCAATAAAACTATAAACATTTTTGAAGTGGAGTATCTTTTTGAGACAGAATCAATCAATCTTGGACTGTTTTGGATAGTTTACTTTTCTCAATCTGTAGAATACATCAATTCAAAACAACAAAAAAGTGTAATTATACCAAGATTCAGTGTATCCATAAATTGTAACTATCTTATGAAATTTAATTATTTTAAATAATTTCCATCTGATGTTTAAAAAAGGTTTACGTTTTTAAACTTTGGCTCTAGACATACTCAAAACTAGTTTATCTCTCGGAAATCACTTCAATAAGATGTTTGACAGACATCAAGATTTTTTTGAAACGTGTAATGGTGCTAAGTGGGTCTTATGATTATTTACAGAATCTATTTACAATGCCTGACGCTACAACAGAGAAAAAACTGAAGTAGTTCTAATTTCCTTTTCCAAAACTTCATCGATCTATTCGTGACTTTGAATTTTACAAATATTTTTGAAACATTTATTATAAAATCATGATTTTAGAGTACTTCGACATGACTACAGCTATTGTTCGGTACCAAAACCAAGGAATCCAGATGTACAAAATAAAACAAAAAGTATAATTCCTGAAAATTATATTAAAGGTGAGAATTAACTAGAGTACGAGCTCAGTGATTTGCTTTAATATTTGTTTTCAGAAATTAGACCTCCTACCATGCAGGGTCAGCCTATACAAGTAGACTTCAGTATGAGAGTTGTGGATATAAATTCAATAAATGTGGAAGATATGGATTTCAGGTGAAGTGTGACTATTAGCTTATCCATTATTTTGTCTAGCATGTAATAAACTTTTTAATTTTGAATTCACCCACGAACATATTTCATTCCCCTGAGGAAAGGTGAATGACTGACTGTGTGGATCAAATAATTTGGGAAGATAATTACCAAGATGTAATGTATTTCACGAATGTATGAATCTTGACATTTATAAAATTCAATATAAACTGTCATAACTTCTGAACTGATACGAATGAACAAAAATGAGACAAAAAATCGCATTCTACTTCATAAAATATAATTGAAATCTTTCTTATGATATATGAAGGAATAATAAAATAACCTCTTCATGAATAGGGTATTCCAAACTTGATAGTCTATTATGAGTACCACTATAAAAAATACTGCGTTCTAGCCTTTTTAGGCAGCAACTCAGAAAATACAAATATATGAGTACATATATCTTCCCCTCGCAAAATCAAATTTCTCTGTTCATCACCATAACAGTTATGGTTAATTTTGTTTTAAGGAATAATTGGATATTCTGCTAAAATTTTCAAAATTGACTGCAATGCATTTGAAATTTTAGACAATACTACTGCAATAAATACTTGTCTCTACAGATTTTCTTTGCATGTAAATGCTGTAAAATTTCTGGATCTAAATATTTATAGCACCGTCGACTTGGTCATCTTATCCATTACAGGAACAGGGTCAAGAAGGAACGTTTTATAGAATACTCTTCAACAAAGTTAGTATATGACATTCGAAACAGTTCCTGGAACCGTTATATTCTGATTTATATGGCCACATGCTTGGAGGATCTATTAGAAAAGTTAGAAAATTCTAGTTAGCCGTTGTAAAATCAAATGTCTCTAAACTGACAATATCACTGAATACTCTATTTCGTACCCTGCAGCTCAACCTCCTCGTATATATACTTAATCGAATCGTTCTTGTTTATTCCCTAAATTCCACATGCTCATTCGAGAATTCTGATCGTTGAAGTACAGAAAATTGATCTTCAAATTCAAAGGTCGTTAGTATAACATTGCTCCTCTCTTCAAGTTACTGATTTCCGAGTAAATAATCTATTTGCTTCTGATGTAACCATGTGGGAGGATCTTTAACGATCGTAGGTCAGTCTCACGACATCAACTATCAGCGGTTTACTCTTTAGCGTTAATTAAATACATGAGACCAATTTGTTATTGGTCACCGAATAGAGGTCTTTGCATTCTCCCTATAACTTGAGGCATACTTTTTTGCCTTTGGGGAAACAGCGCAACGTATCCTCATGTGACCTTGTCTCTACAGCTAGCTACTGCTTCTTCAAATCACTGGTAATCTAGGCGTTTTTTGAAGTCCTCTGATCTTTCCTACGAACTCACGTTAGGCTTCTTTTAGGTGCAAAATTCGCATCATCACCACTTTGCAATATTTTGGCGATAGTTGACCACTTAAACCGGACATTATTAGTATTGTTGAACACTGGTGTGATATTGAAAATATTGAGTTCATGTCTATACCTGGTTATGAAATTGTATCCAAATTTTGTCGCTCAACTCATATACATGGGGGAACGGCAATTTATGTTAAATCATCCAATGTATCGCGGAGCCTAAATTTTGGGAGATGGTCCGAAGAAATCCATTGCGAATGCAATGGGATAAAATTAGTTATAGAGGACAGAAAGATTTGTATACTTAGTATTTATAGATCTCCAAACGGTAACTTTGATACGTTTTTGAATAAATTATTTTGCATATTAGAGAATACACTATTCTCTGATGCTGATGATATCTTTGTTTGTGGCGACTTGAATGTCAATTACCTAGAAAATACGACTGAAAAGATCAAATTAGATGAACTACTACTCAATTTTAATTTACAAGTGACATCTTTGACTCCTACTAGAGTTTTTATCAACCAGTCAGGGAAAACTTCATCTACTAAAGTCGATTACATACTAACAAAAGTTGAGAACATGTTTTGCAAATCCAATGTTTATGAAGGTAGGTGGTTCAAGCCCTAGTCTGAACGGTCGATCTTCACTTGCTATCTTCCAACCCGTGTTAGGAATCACACGTTAAAAGGTAAGACCTCGTTAATCCTTAGCTCGAACAAGTTTCGACTTCTAAGGGTTATCGTTCGTAAGGGTGCGACAGCTGGTTAACGGAAAAACAGATTTTTTTTTTTTACAGTTTCAGTGATCGCAAAGTATTCACAGTTACTTATAATATGCCATTAGAAAAATCTAAACTTATTGAACAATCTTATGTTATTTATAGAGATGTATCAGAGCATAACTTGAAACAACTCTCTAGTCACAAGTGGCAAATTCCCTTCAATTCTAAAAACAGCCATGATCATACCAGTTCATAAGAAGAACGATACATCGGATATTACAAACTATCGCCCCGTGGCCCTGCTTAGCATTTTCTCAAAAATTTTTGAAAAGGTTGTGAATGAGAGAATATTGAGATTTTTATCAAGGTTCAAGATCCTGTCCGATTCTCAACATGGTTTTTGCAAAGGCAAGTCCACTCAATCAACTACTTGGAGATTCTTAGAAATCATATACGCTTCTTTAGATAGGGGTAAGCATGTTGCAGGAGTATTCTTCGATCTGTCACGTGCGTTCGATTGTTTAAATTTTAAATTCATCGAGAGCAAATTATATAATCTAGGATTTAGAGGGGACTTCCTAGAATGGATCATTGACTTTCTTACAGATCGTAGGATGTTCGTCAAGATTAAAGATATGAAATCAGACTATCACGATATATGTTCTTGAGTTCCTCAAGGCTCTGTGTTAGGTCCGCTGATCTTTCTATTGTTTGTAAATGATCTACCTACTTATTTCACCAGTAATGAACATGCTCTCACTCTTTTCGCAGATGACACGTCTTTAGCTGTATCAGCAGGGAGTCAGGAGGAATTAAAATCAAAAACAGAGGAATTAATATCACTGTTCTTAAATTGGTGTGAAAGGAACAATCTGATTGTAAACTTGACCAAAACAAAATATATATATTTTAATTTAAAAAACGATCCGAAAAAGCAATCGCTTGCCTTACTAATCAATGGAATGACACTGGCATGCACAAGTTGTACAAAATTCCTTGGCGTTCATGTAGACAACTGTTTGAAGTGGTCTGACCATATCACAGTTGTTTGTAAAAAAATCAATCAAGGGTATTATGCAATCTCAAGAATTAAGAATTGTATGCCTTTACGCGCCATTTTAGATGTATATTACAGTCTGGTCTATAGCCATCTAAGTTATAATGTGATCCTATGGGGAAACAGTGTTGACAAAGATAGAGTTTTCATTGCTCAAAAAAAAGTTGTTAGGAAATTACTAGGCATCCCTTGGAGGGAATCATGCAAGACATTTTTCATTAGTCATCAAATTTTAACCTTTCCCTGCATCTATATCTTTAAAATACTTTTATATGTTCGCGAATGTATAACAGACTGTACTAAGAACTCATTCTATCATAGCTACCCAACTCGATATGCAGAGGAGTTGAGCATTCCTAAACATAAAACTATAAAATTCGAACATTCTCCCAAATATATGGGAATAAAATTATTCAATCGGTTACCAGACCATTTCAAACAGATGAACACTGTAGCATTTAAAAAAGCAGTTAAAACATTGCTTCTTTCTAAGGCCTACTATAGTATTGGCGAATTTCTCTCGGACCATCTCGACTGAATGGGTTCATGCGGCTTTGGCATGACATATTCAATTTTTATAACTACAATTGTTTTAATTTTTGTAATTCTGACTTATTTGTATAAATTTTTATTGTATTATTTTTATCTGCTGATCTACAATTTTATCGTTTGATGTGATTTTTATCTGCTTAATACTGACCTATCCTATACGTTTGTCAACGTCTTTGAGGATTAATAAATATTATTATTATTATTATTCTTTCTGTCTTTGTCTCAGCTTTGTCTCAGCTCTCTTACTATCGATGCAATAGGCCATCGCAGGGGAATAGCAAATCTCACTGAGTCCAGAAAAGTTTGACAACCATACCATACTTGGCCTTTTCTTGTCTCTTTTATTGTCCATGGGTCCATGTCCATGGGTTGTCCATGGCCTTTTCTGAATCCGATGTTACAGTTTCGTCATGTTTGAATATTACAAATCACTTTTGATAAAGATACTGTGTTAGTGAAACATGTCGTGATATATTTTTCAAATGAAGTTTTTGGAGATCAAATCGTGAGATGTAGTTTATGGAATTAGAGTACTACTGATTACTTTTTGTTCTGAATTCTCAAATTTCAAATATTATTTTTCAAAATTAGTCTAACTTATTCTCAAAAAGTTTGATTATTTGTTCTGTTAGTCGGCTTGTGGAACTGGAACAAGCTTCTGAAACTAAAAATGATTTTTTGTTGAGGCCCAACTAAGTGAATGACTTGGTTTATTTCAGTTTTCAAAGGAAGCAAGTAATTAGTTGTTCACCTCTGTAATGGTACCATCCAAATAATTATTTTAAAACCATGAAGATGAACCTATTGAAAAATAGGAAATTGACGAAGTAGGAACTATTGCAAATGGATGAGTTCATTTATGTAATGTTTACCAATTAGGCTGAAGGTTAGGCAAATATTTTGAATTATTCCAAATAATCTTTAAAGAAAAATGAATATAACCGTGTAAAACACCTGAGATATTTACCCAATGAAAGGAAAACAGCGAGTAAACAGTGAAAAATTGTACGAAGAGCGTAAACACTTTTTGAAGAATTGATTTCAAAGAGCAGAAACATTATCATTAGCAATGTAATTTTAGTGAATATGTGGAACTTTCATGTTAACTGATTTTGTATATTTTTATAGAATGGACATGTTCATAAAACAGGAATGGCAAGACGCTAGAATTAAAATTCCTGAAGAAATGTTTGAGTACGGTGATGATTCCATCACTCTACCATCACAATTTTTTGAAAATTTATGGCAGCCTGATTTGTATTTTTTGAACTCCAAAGTTATAGGTAAAATAACAAATCATTTTCAATATCACATAACATTCAACTGTTATAGAGATCGCCACATTGACTCACAAGTTTTCATCTGTTACATTGTTCAAAAACAAAACCATCAGATATGCCGCAAGGATGCATGCCATAGTAGCTTGTCAGATGGAGTTCCAGAACTATCCCATGGATACGCAGGTGTGCCCCATAAACGTAGAAAGCTGTAAGTTTGCTCAATGTCTTGATAATTTGATAATAATAATTGTAAGGAATATTACTGGAGTACCAAACCGTTATTTTAACCCCTCGACACGTATTTCGATCACTAAGTGATCATCTTCAAGAGGAAGATCAAACACTAAAGGTTCCAAACAGTGCATCACAAGTAAATAATAGTAAGGTTGAGATAACATATCAGAAATATATATATATATA